TGTGTGTGTGTGTGTGTGTGTGTGTGTGTGTGTGTGTGTGTGTGTGTGTGGGGGGGGTGTGGGGGGGGGGGTGTGGGTATGGGTATGGGTATGTGTATGTGTATGTGTATGTGTGTGTCGGGCCCTTTCGCTCCCTGCGAAGCAATAGTTAAAGGTCTCCGAAGCATCGGGCCCAAGATGCGGTCAGATCTGTGACCACGTCCCTGCGTTTTTGGCCTTCAGACGGAGAGTGTGCCCTTATACGATGTCGGGAGTGACGGGTTCCATGGACCTTCCCCCCTCCCCCTGCGCCCGCCCCCCCGCCCAGGCGTTCGTTTGAGCGCGGTGGCGGAATCGCTCGGCGGCGCCGTTGGACTATCGATGTCATGGGGCGGCGCCGCCATGCGAGTTCCGCCATTGGAACCTGTATGTGGAGCTCCCTATGTGGCCACGAAACTTGTGAGGGGGGCCAAAGTGAGGCGGCGCCGCCATGCGAGTTCCGCACCGGAGACCTTAGGTGGAGCTCCCGATGGGGCCACGAAACGTGTGATGTGTGCGCCAAAATGGGGCGGCGCCGCCATGCGAGTTCCGCCTCTGGGACCTTAGGTGGAGCTCCCTGAAACGTGTGATGGGTGTGCCCACATGGGGCGGCGCCGCCATGCGAGTTCCGCAACTGGGATCTCAGATGGAGCTCCCTATGGGGCCACGAAGCGTGTGATGGGTGCGCCAAAATGGGGCGGCGCCGCCATGCGAGTTCCGCTTCTGGGACCTTAGGTGGAGCTCCCTATGGGGCCACGAATTGTGTGAGGGGTGTGCCAAGATGCGGCGGCGCCGCCATGTGAGGTCCGTCACTGGGACCTTAGGTGGTGCCCTCCATGGGGCCACGCCACGAAACCTGTGAGGGGTGTGCCAAAATGGGGCGGCGCCGCCATGCGAGTTCCGCCACCGGGACCCTATGTAGAGCTCACTATGGGGTTACGAATTGTGTGAGGAATGTGCCAAATCGGGGCGGCGCCGCCATGTGAGTCCCGTCACTAGGACCTTAGGTGGAGCCCCCCATGGACCACGAAACGTGTGAGGGGTGTGCCCAAATGGGGCTGCGCCGCCATGCGAGTTCCGCCTCTGGGACCCTAGGTGGAGCTCCCTATGGGGCCACGAAGCATGTGAGGGGTGTGCCAAGATGCGGCGGCGCCGCCATGTGAGGTCCGCCACTGGGACCTTCGGTGGAGTTCCCTATGTGGCCACGAAACGTGGGAGGGGTGTGCCGACATAGGTGGTGGGGACAATGATGATGCCTTGTACTTGTACGGAAATCCTTGAGTGCGGAGTGGGACAGCCGTGGCAGCATCCTTGCGTCTTCCGTCCTATCTTGGCTCTAGCTTCATAGGCGCGGCTCCCGCGGCGGACCCCCCATGCTCGACTGGGTGGTGCAGCGCGGGGGAGAGTACGCCGCGCAGGGCTTGGTGAACTACATCGCGCGGTGCCCAGCGGCGCCGCCGTGCCCAGGCTGCCCGGCGCTCACCTGCCAGGCTTGCGGCGCTTGCCAGGCGCCCGCGTGCCCGGGCCTCTCGTGCCCGGCCTGCCCGACCTGCCCGGGCCTCGCGCCGGCGGCTGGGCCAGCGGCGTGCCCGGCCTGCCCGCAGGCCCCGGAGGCAGCCCCGTGCGCCGGCCGCGGCTGGGGGCTGCTCTGGTTCGTGTGCGGCGTGGCCTTCGGCCTCGCGGCGGCCGCGGCGCTGCTGAGCGCTCGGCGCGCGGCTCGGTGCTGCGGCAGGCACAGGCGGGCCGCCATCCAGGACTTCTCGGAGCCAGGGCCTGCCCCCGTGAGCGATGGCGACGTGGGCATACGTGCTATACTTCGGGGCCGGCCCCCGGCAGGTCTGGCACCAGAGGCTGGTGCTGGGGCAGGTGGCGCTATCGGCTGGTAGCCTCTTCGTGATCGCCACCCCCGACCGGCACGTGTACGCGGAGGACTACAGTGCAGGGTCAGCCGACGTCGCGGCCGTGAGGTGGGCGACGGCCTTCAACGTGCTGCCGGACGGCATCCCTCCCGGGGACGTGTACCGCTTCCGGGCGGAGCCGACGGTGGCGCAGCGGGCCGCCTTCCTCGCCGCGGCGGTGCCCGAGGCCGCGGGCGAGTGCGCCGGGCTGGCCGCGGCCCAGGGCGTGGCGGCCCCGGCGGTGGACGCCCACTGCCTGCTGCCGGTCCCGGTGGGCGGACCCGCGGCCGGCGCAGGGGCTGCTGCGGTGGTGGCCGCTGCGGGCGCGCCCGCTGCTCTCGGAGCCGCGGCGCCCGCGCGTGTGCCGCCGCTGGTCGGGCCCTTGCAGGGGGTCGTGGCTGTTGGTGCGGCTGACGGACGAGGTGCTGTCCGCTGGGTCGCCGCCGAGTGCTTCGGGGGCTTCCGCGTGGGGGACGACGTGGCCCACCAGGCCGGAGCGGGCGCCATCGGGGACAAGGACATCCACCGACTGGCGGACGGCTCGGGCCTCTTCGTGCAGTACTTGCGGCCAGGCGACGAGCAGGAGTTCTTCGACCGCATCGTGGCCAGCGACGCCCGCATCCTCCCGGTGCGCCGCAACAGGCTTGGGCGGCGGGAGCGCACGTGGGCGGACATGTGTGCCGCGGTGACAAAGGAGGATTTCGGCAAGGACTGGACGCTCGGCGGCGTCCGGACGGCGGGATGGTGCCTGGAGCACATCAACTCGGAGGGCGGCAGCTTGGACGCTCACCACGACCGATTTCGATCGCTGTGCCGCCTGGAGCCCAACGCCTGGGGGGTGGCCGAGCACCTCCACCTCACGGCGGCGGTGAATGCCGGCCTCCTCGTCGACCAGCTCGACGGCACGAACCTCGTCATGGTGGAGATGCTGCTGAGGAGGATGCAAACCATTGAGTACGCCCACCTCGAGCGGGCGAAGGAGGCCGAGTCGAAGGGGCACAGTGGACGCCTCAGCCTCGAGGAGCAGCAGGCGTTCTCGGGGCTCAGCCGTGGCTCGGGGCAGCTCATGATTTGCGCGGAGCTCCTCGACGTGGTTCGTGTCGACGTTGAGCGGGAGGCGCAGCTCAACAAGGCCCCGCGCAAGGGCCGCGAGGAGCGAGATGCCGCCCGCAAGAATGGCGGGGGCGACAAGTCGTGAGCCCCCGCCGACATCTACGTCTGAGGTTGGCTCGCGCTGCTCTGAGGGTGCAGTGCAGGCCTCTTGTACTCCGATCGCCCCTCTCCTCCTGACCTCCGGGCTTCTCCCCCTCATGCATACTTCTGCGCCTCGCGCTCCCGGCGCCCGGGGGGCGCGTGGGCCCCGTGTGCCGCCGCCCCACGAAGCTTTTAATTACGGGGACGAGCCCTCCCGCGCGGTACCCCGCGACATCTTGCCTTTACCGCGGCCGGCGGCGGAGCGGCATCGGGGCGCCGACGGGGGGCTCCCCCGTGCAGTCCGACGGCGTCTGGGTAAGCGCGAGAGTTTTGAGTTGGACTGTGATCGCGCCGTCCACGCCTTGAACTCGCTCTATCTTCACCAGGACCAACCTCCCGTTGGCCAGGGCGCCGACCGTGCAGTTTTTGTTTCCCTGGGCCAGCGTCGCTGTCTTGATAGGATTCGGGGCGCCGTCGCTGCTCTCGGCCCGCCTCCGCCGGAGGTGACTCCCGCAGAAGCTCTCCGGAAGCTTCGCGTGGCGAGCTGGTATGATGTGGGCTCTGCCGTGCTCGGTTCCTATAACCTCGCTAGCGTCTCGCTCCCCTCTGGCTCGCCGGCACCGGTGCCGCTCGAGGATCTGTGGGGCGCGGGCGGGTCGGACATGATTAGGGACTTCGTCCAAAGCCGATTGCTACCGTCTAGTGAGGTAGATACTCGTTTGAAAAATTCTCAGGTCGCGGTGCCGCATAGTGATCCGAAGCTGCGTCGGGTCGCGGCTTTTGAGGAGTTCATCCGTGCATTCCAGCAGCGAGGCATGGTAGATTTCAGCTTCTCATACAAGGAAAGGGTTGAAGCTTTTTTCGTGCACAAGAAATCCGGGAAGCTCCGGCTGGTAGTCGACTGTCGTAGAAGCAACTGTCATTTTCAGGACCCCGCCCCCGTTTCCCTCCTCACCGGCGAAGGCCTGGCAGGGCTGGAGCTCGGCGAGGGTGAGGAGCTGCATGTTGGCGGGGCCGATTTGTCTGACGCCTTTTCATCATATGCAGTTGCCTCCCGATTTGAGACTTTTTTTGTTTCAGGGCCGCGCGGGCGGGGGCGGTGGGGTGTACTAGGGTCAATGGGAAAGCCGTTCCTCCGTCAGCCATGGTCTATCCCCGACTGTCTGTGATGCCGATGGGCTGGAGCTGGGCCCTGTGGATGCGTCAAACGGCCCATGAACGCGTTGTGGAACAAGCCGGAGCTTCCCCGGAGAGACGCATTGTAGATAAGCAGGTGACGCCGGACCTTCATCGCGCGTGCCATTCGCAGTATGTGGACAACTTCTTCGCCGTCTCTACTGACGCCAGTGCTGTTCGCTCTCTCGTTGCTGATGCTATTCGTGCTCTTGAAGGGCGGGGTCTCGTCGTTCATGAGGAGGAGTATTCTGGGGGGGACAAGGTGGCCCAGGTTTTGGGGTGGCGGATCGACGGGCCCGGGCCGCGCGGCTGCCACCCCTGTCCGCCTCTGGAGGGCCCGCCTGGCCATTCGGGCGGTCCTCCGCAGGGGGAGGTGCTCTGGGCGTGACCTGGAGCGCCTATAGGCATCTTGTCTTCCTCTCCCTGGTCCGCCGGGAGGGGTTATCGCTGTTCTGGTCGTGCTATGCCTTCGTCAGGAAGAATTACACCCAGGATGAGCGTCTGTGGGCTTCGGTACGTCGCGAGCTCTCTCTCTGGGATGGCCTTGCTCCTGTCCTCTGCCGGGACCTACGGGCGGGCTGGAGCGACGAGGTGGTGGCCGTCGATGCTAGTGAGTGGGGGCTGGGGGCGTGCGCCGCACAATGTGGGGCCTCTCTTGCCCGGAGCGTCGGCCGGACCTCAGAGCGCTGGCGCTGGGGTCGGGTCGGCGCTGCCATGGGACCTCGTCGCCACGCGCTGGACCACGCTCGGAAAGCCGAGGCGGCGGCGGCCCTGGCGGGAGAGGCCCGCGAGGCTGCCCCCTGGATCGCCGCCGCCAACGACGTCCCGGGGCCCGAGTGCGCTCCCCCCCAGCCCCCCTCGGCTGGCTCAGGTGTCCTGGACAGCCCCGGTGACGTCTTCGGGTTCGGTCGGGTCAAGCGGGTCGTGGACTTCCCAGAGGTCCCGCGGGAGATGATCGAGCTGCAGTGGGCCGTCGTCGGTCGCTTCCCGTGGAGGCGCAAGGGGGAGAGTATCGCCGTGTACGAGGCTAGGGCCACCCTGTACGGGTTTCGACATCTCCTTCGTTCGTCTCGGAACCTTGGGAAGCACGTGCTGGTCCTGGGGGACTCGCAGTCGACGGCCGGGGCGGTGGCGCGGTTTCGGAGCGACAGCCGTAGCATGATGCGGGTCACCCAGGCGATTGCGGCCCTCTCGCTCGCGACCGGTTCGGCCTTGCATTATCGATGGTTGCCCTCGGAGTGGAACGTCGCGGACTCTCCTTCCCGAGGCCTCTGGGCTCCAGCTGCTCCGAGCCCGCTCGATTTCTCCAAACATGCCCCCGCGGGCCAGACCCGCGCCGACCTCGACCGGCGCACGGATGGCGCCGCCGGCGGCGCCTGCGGCCCCGCTGGCCTCGCCGCTGGACAGGCGGGGGGCCACCCGTGGTGCCATGGCGGCGAACCTCTCTACGTCTGCACGGGCCCCCGGCCCGCCGCGCCGACAGCCAGCCGTTGCCCGCCCTCCTCCAGCCAAGAGGAAGCGCCAGACGGTGGCCGACGTCGCGGCCCGGCGGAGGGCCTCTGCCGTCACAGTGGGGGGTCTCACGGTGCTAGAGAGCGCCTCGGTTCGGCCTCGGACGCGGCAGAAGTACCAGTCGCTGTTCGCCGAGTTCCTGGCGTGGCTCGCCGTCCCGGTGGCAACCTCCGAGGCGGGCGTCGACCAGCAGCTTGTGGGGTGGCTGGACGCGCTGTACCTGGGCGGCGAGAACCTGGGCTCGGCCCAGTGGGGCTTCGCGGCGGTGACGTTCTTCACGGGCCTCCAGAAGTCCGCGGGGGCCCTCGTGCCCAGGAGCCGGAGGGCCCTCCAGGGGTTCAGGCGCTGCTGCCCTCTCAGTCGCGGCTTCCGCTGCCGCGCGAGGTGGTGGCCCTGATCGCCAACGAGCTGGTCAGGTTGGGGAAGCTGCCCTGCGCGATCGCGATCGTCGTGATCTTCGAGCTGTACCTTCGGCCAGGCGAGATCTTCAACGTGAGGGGCGTGGACCTCATACCCCCAGTGCCGGGCGTGGCAAGCGCCCCCTGCTGGGCCATCACGCTTCGCGCGCAGGAGGTCGGGAGGTCGTCAAAGACGAACGAGTTCGACGAGTCCATGCGCCTGGATCTGGAGCGGCGCGCCCCTCTCGGTCCGGCGCTCAAGGCCCTCTGTCAGGGCCGGAGCCCGCGCTCGCCGATCTTCGACTTCGCCCTGAAGGACCTGGCGACGGCGGTGTGCGGCGTCGTGCGGAGCCTCAAGCTGGACGAGTACCTCGGCGACGTCCACCTGTACCAGCTCAGGCACGGCGGCGCCTCACGACTCCGCCGGGGGCTTCAGGGGCCTGGAGGGCGTGAGGCGCCGCGGGCGCTGGCGGTCGTGGGCTTCGGTCAGGCGCTACGAGAAGGGCAGCCGCATCGGCCAGGTGCTGCTCAAGCTGCCCGAGGACCTTCGCGCCCGCGCGCTGTCCTGCGAGCGCTCGATGGCCTCCATCGTCCGCGGCCGGCCTTGTCCGGCGGCCCCCGGCCTCAGGTCCGCTTCTTCCTCGAGGTCTTCTCGGGGCCAGGGCGGCTCGGCCAAGCAGTCGCGAGGGAGGGCGTGAACGTTCGTCTCTGGGACGTGGAGCTGGGTGCCGATTACGATCTTCGTCTGGCTCGGAACCGCAGCCTCATCAGAGGATGGATCCGCTCAGGCATCGTGATCGGCGCCCACTTGGGAACACCGTGCTCCTCGTTTTCGCGGGCGCGCGATGTGCCCCCAGGCCCTCCACCGTTGAGGTCAAACTCGTCTCCCATGGGCCTCGGCGACCTGAACCCCGCCGACGCTGACAAGGTTCGCGTCGGCAACTTGTTAATGTTTTTCTCCGTGGCGGTGATGCGGGATGCTATGATGTTGGGAATACCAGCTACTCTTGAGAACCCCGCCCGGAGCCGCATCTGGATTTGCCCCGCCATGCAGAGACTTCAAACATCCAACATGATCAATTTCACCGTCACCGATTTCTGCATGTGGGGCGCCCAGTGGAGGAAGTCGACCGGTTTCCTCAGCACGGGGCTGTGCATGGACGCCCTCGCCGAGGCTCGCTGTCTCGGTGCCAAGCGTGGCCTGTGCAAGCGCTCCGGCCAGCCGCACATCCCCATCCAAGGGAAAAACGACAAGGGTGTATTCTGGTCCAAGATCGCCGAGCCTTATCCTCCTGGTCTTTGTAAAGCCCTGGCTTCTATCTATTACAATGCGTGGGCCTCGTCTAGAGCCGAGTTGTTCAACAAGAAGGTGTTTGCGGCCCCGTCGGGGCCAGATTGCTGATCGGGTGGTCCTGGAGGTCCGCCAGGTTTGGGAGGTGTGCGTGCTCGGCTCCCGAATGGTCTGGCCTCGCCCGCTCCGTTTCGCAAAGGTCGTCGACTCGTGCTAGCCGTCTGGCTGGAAAACGAAGCCCGGGGGGATGCCTTGCACTTGTACGGAAATCCTTGAGTGCGGAGTGGGACAGCCGTGGCAGCATCCTTGCGTCTTCCGTCCTATCTTGGCTCTAGCTTCACCCCCATCTACCCCAACCGCCGCCCTGTTTTTCTTTCAATTTATGGTTTCTTCCTCGTTAGTTGCTTTTGAAGAGGAGGTGTGCGTGCTCGGCTCCCGAATGGTCTGGCCTCGCCCGCTCCGTTTCGCAAAGGTCGTCGACTCGTGCTACGCCGTCTGGCTGGAAAACGAAGCCCGGGGGGATGATGATGACGACGATGATGATGATTATGTGGATGAGGATGATGCTGCGGATGATGATACTGATGGATGATGGGTGATGGTGACGATGCTGATGATAGGGGAGAGGGAGGGGAGGCAGCAGGAGGAGAAGGAAGGAAGGAGGACGCGGGCGCTCTCTCCAAAACGAGGACCCAACAAAACAGGATGGTTGGGAACTAGACCACAATGGTCATTCCGAAAAACATATTGTTGGGTTTTTCATGTTTGTCCAAAGCCTTCTGGCACGCTCTCAGAGCGTTCCAGAGCGGTCCGAGGAGGCTGCGGCGCCCGATGCGTCCTCCAGAATCGCCGGATCTCAGAGATTCTCGATTTATATTCACTCAATTCTATCCTCGTCCTGGCTTCGGTTTCGAAAAATGGGGGGGCAGCGAAGGCTGCAGAAAATGGTCCCTGTCGGGCCCCCAAAGGAGACCTTCTGGCCCAAAGGGGGGCTTTTCGGGCTTGAGGAATGCATCCTTCCCGCCCCCATGTATCGCCCCCCTAACGAAACGACGCCCAAGACCATAGGGGTCCTCCCTGCATTGGCTTGCGCGCTTGGATTGGGCCTCCCCGCGGTCCCCTGAAGCTAGGCACCAAGATCACAGGCGATTTTTCTCCCCCGATCCGAAACCCGGGGGTGCATCCCAAGGTGGCTGTTCGGACGCACCCCTATCGAGGATGGACGCCCCCCATCGTATATCCCAGGGTTGTGACCCAACATTCTGCTCCATTCGAAAGCCCACGAAGCCTGGGATAGGGGTCGACGCATCCCCTGTTAATAGAGTTCCTCCCAGCATTGGCTTGCGCGCTTGGATTGGGCCTCTCCGCAGACCCCTGGGGCAACGCACCAGGGGTACCTGCTGCCCAGGATCACTCCTTGCGTGTAGCCGAGAGGACGTCAGCGAGAGCGAGCCGGACGACATCCAGCCGGACGAGGCACCGCTACGTGCCGTGTCCCGTTGCGGCCCGCCCTGCAGATCCGGGTGTTGCGATGTCTTCACGCCGGGCGTGTTCGCCGGGCTTCGGGCCCCGGGACCAGCACAGATCGATGCGGCTCGAGAAATGCAGCGTGAAGGCGGGGTCTACACTGGTCTGGTCGCGATTTTCTGTAGAGGAGGACGAGTAGGAGCAGGAGGAAGAGGAGGAGGAGGAGGAGGAGGAGGAGGAGGAGGAGGAGGAGGAGCAGGAGGACGAGAAACAGGAGGAGGAGGAGGAGGAGGAGGTCGCGATTTTCTGCGATGTTGCAGTTGTTCCGCAACGTCGGATCTCAGGGCGCGTGCAGGTCAGGGGAAACGGAGGGGGGGGGCAGGCTCAGGGTGGGGGCGCATCGACCTCCCATCGCCAACGCCGGCGGGGGCCTGACGGACCACCCCTCACGGAAATGCGGATTCGGCATCGAGAGCCTATCGCCGATCTATCGGCGATGTCTCGCCGATGCCAGCCCGATATTTCCCCCCGTGCCAGTCCCCCCGTCTCGTTCACCCGCAGCAGGGGGGAAGAGGTCAGAGTCAAGCAGCCCTTGGAGGCGGTAGGTTCGTGTTGTGCCAGAGAACGACCCAGACCTCCTCACGACAGAGGGTTTTTTAATTGCCTTGTTGAGCCGCTCGGGGCCTGCCCTCGGACCGTTAGAATTGGATTTTTTATAGAACGGCGATCTGGCGAAAGGGTCGATCGATAGGTCCCAGGGTCCAAAGGCACGTCCTCGGGAATTTCGATCAGGCATCCTTTGGATGCAGTAGGTTCGCGTGGCCTTCGAAAAGCCAATGGCCAGGACGTGACGACACGAATTTCCCTTACGGTTAGAGGCCGGCTCGTCGTCATAGGATTTACTGCGTCGGTTTGGGCGATGTGAGTGGCAGTTCTGTTATTCCCTCGGGGGGAGGCGCCTGTAACCCCCCTTGGATCCCCTCGCCCTCCCCGTGGCTGGAACGCCCCGAGGCCGCTCGCAGGCCGGATCTCCTGCATTTTCCGTCCACGTGATTTTATTTGGAGTTCTTCGTCTCAGCTTGCATCAGGAGGGAAACAACATACAAACACAAGTAGTCGCCGATTCCCAGGAAAATGTGCGAACATATGGGAAGTGGGGGAGAAGACGGACACCCAGAATATATCTATATCTATATATATATATATATATATATGAAAATACGGGGGATCCTGGGATTTGTGTGTATTTATTTCTGTGTGTGTTGTAGGCCCCGTCATTGCATGCATCCTATAAGTATGTCCTGGACCCCGTGAGGAGAACGTCTTTGAACGATTCACGATCTCGCCCGTTACCTGGCAGTCCCCCCTTGGTAAAACATCACGATTCGCGCTTCTGGATGAATCCACGAGTGACCTCCAGGGAGCTCGGGGAAAGACCTCCGGGGACCTCTGGAAGTCTCTGGAGGCCTTGTGTGTGTATGTGGGCCCAAGGGGGTCTAGCAAAAATGTCTGTATCCACTGCCCACCGAAGCCCCCGAAATTCCCGAGGCAGTAGGAATGGGCACACACCCGCCGCGCAAGATGCGAGGCCAGGCAGTTGATCACGCGTCACTCCTCCCCCATCCCACCCCCAAGAGACCAATCATCGTGTTGGGAGGAAGGGGTCGGGAGAATGAAGGGCATGAGGAAATAGCATCTGGCTGCAATGAACGATACCTTCGGCCACCTGCGGGCAATGATGTCCTCATTTCTCCTAGCCTTAGACATGCGACGTCCTGTTTTTTTCAGAACGGGGTCCCAGGAAGTCCCGACCCGTTCCCCTGGACCGGTTTTTCATCCTGAGCTGTTTTTTGACGTTCCCGAGGCCCGGCGAGGGCCCCCCGAGGCCGAAGATGGCCAAATACCTCCCGTCCTGGTTTTTGTTTAAGACGCGATCATGTCTGGGACCCCATCCTCCCCACCCGATAGAGTTGTCTTCCCGACCAGAGCGGGCGACCGCAAGAGGAGGGATAGTCGGAGCTCGCGGTGGCGGTGCCCGCGAACGGATGCCTTGGGCGGCGTGCATATAAAGCCTTTAGAAAGCGCTCCCCCGCCGGGCCTTCGGTCAGTGGGCTTGTTTTCCACCACCGCCGCCTTACCCCAGACATCATCGCGTCGTAAAACAATCATTTTCGGCCTCGAGGGTCCTCGCCGGGCCTCGGGAGCGTCAACAAAAACAACTCAGGACGACAAACCGGTCCCGGGGGAAAGGGTCGGGACTTCCAGGGACCCCGTATGGAAAACATAGGGGAAGGGGGTCCGTCTCCTCTTCTTCTTCCTCCTCCTCCTCCACCTCCTTCCCCCCTTCAACTTGTGGTGGTAGTGGTGTTGGAAAACAAGCCCATCCTCGGCGCCCTGCCGGACCGAGCGCCTCGGGCGTTGCGCGTAATGTTGAAGACAGGTGCGCCTGGCACCTTCGGGGGCCCTGCATGGCCCACAAGGGGCCCACCAGGGGCACGGGAGGTGCACGTTTCGTCGCCCCCCCCTTCTCCTCCTCCTCCTCCTCCTCCTCCTCCTCCTCCTCCGCCTCCCCCTCCACTTCCTCCTCCTCCTCCGCCTCCCCCTCCACTTCCTCCTTCTCCTCCGCCTCCCCCTCCCCCTCCTCTCCTCCCCCCCCCTCCTCCTCCTCCTCCTCCTCCTCCTCCTCCTCCTCCTCCTCCTCCTCCTCCTCCTCCTCCTCCTCCTCCTCCTCCTCCTCCTCCTCCTCCTCCTCCTCCTCTCCTCCTCCTCCTCCTCCTCCTCCTCACCTTCACCCTCCCCCCTCCTGTTTCTTTCTCCTCCTCCTCCTCCTTCTCCTCCTCCTCCTCCTCCTCCTTCTCCTCCTCCCCGTCACCTTCACCGTCCCCCTCCTCCTCCTCCTCCTCCTCCTCCTCCTCCTCCTCCTCCTCCTCCTCCTCCGCCTCCTTCCTCCCTCTCCTCCTCCTCCTCCTCTTCCTCCTCCTCCAGCGCCCAAACGCCAGCTCGGCCCCCCCGCCCCCTCGGTGTGCTTCTCGGTCGCGCGCCTGCTGCGCGCGTCCAAATCCTCTTGCTGCGCGCGCTTACATGGTGCTCCTCCGAGGAGGCGAGGGTACGGATACGTACCAGATACCTCTGCTCATCGCCACGCTCTTGCCCTCGTTGGCCTCCACGGAAGCCCTGAAACCGCCTCGAGAGTCTTTGGTCGGAACGCACCCATGGAGAGGTCCGAGGAGTAGCAGTTTTGGTACCTCGTGGTTTTCCCAAGGAGCGCTCCAGCGCTCGCTGGCGCGCGCGCCTGCGAGCGTCCGCGCGCGCCTGCCAGCGCCCGCGCGCGCCTGCAGGTTCGCTTGCGCACGCCTGCAGGTGCGCTTGCACGCTCCCGCGCGCTTCTCTCGCCCGTGGCGCACCCGTCCGCCTCCTGTCTCCGAGTTTTCCAGAGCCAATCAAAAGTCGGGCGTGCCTCTCTGCAGGAGGAATATCCCAAAATAGTTGAAACATAGTCTGGGGACGGTATTTCTATTATTTTTGACTATTATTATGTTTGTTTGCTTAGTTATTTGCCGTCCAAATCCGCCTGTAGGAGGACATGCCCCACCTAAAGCCAGTCCTGCTTGCCCTGGGGGCTGCGAGGATTTTGTGGCCCAGGGGGAGGGAGAGACACCGATGCCGCTCCTCGTCCTGGAGAGAGCCCTCGTCGCCACGGCTGCATTCGTCTCGATGTTCTGGTCAGAGTTCATCCCGGACAGAGGTCGAGGGAGTAGTTGTATCGGCACCGGTTCGTATCCCCTGCGGCGAGCTTGTGTCAAAGAAGCTGGCCCAAGGACGACTCCAGCGACCAGCTGAGCGACTCGGAGGCCCCGCGCACGCCCACTCGGTGTATTGTTAGGGCTGTGCGTTCTCGACGCCCCGTGTGTGTGTGTGTGTGTGTGTGTGTTTGTGCGTGCGTGCGTGCGTGCGTGCGTGCGTGCGTGCGTGCGTGCGTGCGTGCGTGTGTGTGTGCGTGTGTCGGGTCCGCATGTGCAGTGAATTCTTGACGCGTCGCGCGTCCCCTTCGGCCCATCCAGTAGCGATGCCCAGGCGCAGTGGAGCAGAGAGGGGGGGCAGCCGCCACACAGAGGGTCGGGAACAACTTGAGCACGCCTTGGAGCCTACGTGCCGTCACTGCCTTCGCGGGTGGTTCCGATAAGGGAGTGGATTGGCAGCTTACCTGGGCCATTTTGGAAGCCTTTGGGACTCTCTTGGGGCCCCCTTGGCGCCTATGGGGGCACGCTTTGGGGCCTTTGGGGTGCTCTTGGAGCCATCTTGGAGGCCATTGATCACAGACAGGAGGGGGGTCAAATTACGGCCCACCGTCAGAGACCGAATCATGCCTCTGGGGCCCTCTTGGGGCGCACTTCGGCGGTCTTGGGGACGTCTGACTTGGACCCCTCTTGGGGCTCTCTTGGGCCATCTTGCCAACCCTCGAGGCCTGAAGAGCCTATTGGAAGCGAAAAGGCGAGACTACGGCGCACACTGAATAGATTCACGAGGTTTTGGAAGGGCGTGGGCTTCTCGTGGGGGGCCACTGCGAGGTTCTGTGGCCAGTTGGGCCGTCTTGGGACGGCCGTGGCGCCGTTTGGAGGCGTAGAAACTAGCGTGGGCTATCTTGTGCGATCATGGAGGCCATCCAGTGCTATCCTGGGCCCTCTGGGCGCCATCGTGGGCCATCCCACGGGCCGCGCGCCCCCGATCCACACCCGGGGAGACAGGGTTAGGGGGAGAGGTAACTTGTTTCTAAACGGGGAGAAGGAGGGGGGGAGACCAAACTCAAACCACTTGCGCTCAAACTGATGGTGGGGTATCTAATTCTGTTGGGTCGCAGCTGTATCGCAGAATGCGTTGGGCCGCAGCCGTCTTTTAGTTATTTGTTCTTCGTTCCGCTCTTCCGATCACCAAGCCATGCCACTGGATCAGCACGTGCCTACCATGCCACCCAGTAGTGGCAACACACAGTATCGGCACATGTTCATATACTTGTTTATCAACCGTCGCATCTTGTCGGCTTGTGAGATACCTGTGACATCCTCTGTCCATGAATGTGTACACGGGTACAGTTGTCCAATGTTGGATACGGTTATATTGATCATTTCGCGCTTGTTGAAGGTGCCACATAATATCACGCGTGTTGGTTCGTGTCGCATATATGATATTCTGCATGACGCATCCGCGTTCTTCTTCGTGAGATGCGCATTCCTCCTGGCTTACCTTATGTTCCTTCTCCCCGAGCCTGTTCCTCCTGCAAGTGTGGCTCCGTGGAATCGGAATGCGCGTGAGGCTGATCTGAAGACGGCGAAGGCGCACATTTCGGATGCGTCCTCCAGGTGCGCCGCATTCGTGTGCAAGGGCGGCGCATGCGGCACAGCAGTGAGCAATGGTAAGACCAATGTTTGAGGCAGGTCTGCTATAATACTACAGGTTGAAATTTCATCAAGAAGCATGGTAGGTGGCGGCGCAGATGAGGATGATGGTTCGCTGATATCTCTAGTGACCGTCGGCCCACCCCGCCATTGGTTGAGTTGAAGGCCAGAGGCTTCTTGGATGCCTGCTGTGGTCTTCTTGGGCTGCCGCTCGAGGGCTGCTGGAGGCCTCTTGAGGAAGCGTGTGGGGCCATATTGGATGTCGTTTCGGAGCCTCTTAGGCGGCTCTGGGGGGGGAGCTTTTGCCGGCATGTTGGGGGTCGTGGGGGGCAATGTGTGGGGGAATTGTTCCTAACGCCCTTTCGAGTAGCCGTCTCGGGACCCTCTTGTGCTGCCTTGCGGTTCTCTTGGGGCAGTCTTGGCCAGTGTTAGCGCCTTCTGGCCTCTGGAGAAATCGTGCGGGCGGTCTCAAACATCACGCGAGGCAAGCCCAGGACATTTCGGCCATCGAGGGTCTGCGCGTTGTTAGCGAGTGTTTCCAATCACCAGCTATTCGTTACAGGGTAGTCGCCCCAAGAGACCTCCAGGTTGCCCCCGAGAGGTCCCCAGAGGCCCTCCAGAAACTTCCAAGGGACATCCCAAAGTGCCCCCGCGAACGCAGGCAAGTGTTCAGCGATGAAGCAAGACAATCCTTTCACACACTCATATCCACACCCATTTGTAGATACTTGACCTTTACTACTCACACTCAGGTCCACTCACACGCAGACTCGTTCATACACATGCCCATACAGTCAGACTTGTTCATGCGAAGGCCTACTCACACCCATGCGCTCGTACGCAGACTCAGTCCTGCCCGCTCACACTCACACTCAGTCACCCGTTTCCAGTCTAATTCAAGTTCTCTGCCACCCATTGAAATCAGAACACGCTATAACAGATTTGAGTGAAGGGACCGAGCGGTCATTTACTGTCCTGGGCGCGTGGCTGAAGTGGGGTTCCGCGGTGCGGATTGTTGTTGCGTTGTGTATTTCTCGTTCCCCAACAATGCGAAGTATGGAGCACGAGAGAGATCGGCAGGAGGGGCTTCGGAGCACGAGACACGTAGCAGAACCAGACGGGCTGATCGAGCGGGGAGACCTTGACGGGCAGGTCGGGAAGGCGGGCCCAAGCGGCCAGGTCGAGTAGGCGGGTTGCTGAAGCGTCAGTATCGCATGAATCGTGAGGAGGTCTCGAGCGATAGCGCGATTCCTAAGTGAACCGCAAGAAAGCAATTAGCCTGACTAAAGACCCAACCTTATTCAGGTGTGAGTACCGAAATTGTGATTCACTTTTTCGGTGGTGGTACCTATGGGGCAAGAAACCGTGCTAGGGGTGTGCCGAAATGTTTGGCGTGGTACCCAACGCGAACGAAAGCGAACAACACAATGCGGACTGCGCCACGGGGACCTTCGGTGGGGCTCCATTTGGGGCCACGAAGCGTTGTACTGGGTGAGGTTGACGCATGCGGACTGTGCAACGGGGACCTTCGGTGGAGTTCCAATATGGGGCCACGAAGCGTGTGAGGGGTGTGCCGACATGAGTGGCGGGGACGCGTGCGAACTGTGCCACTGGGACCTTCGGCGGAGCTCCTATGGGGCCACGAAACGAGTGAGGGGTATGCCGAAATGAGTGGCGGGGGACGCATGCGAACTGTGCCACTGGGACCTTCGGCGGAGCTCCTATGGGGCCACGAAATGTGTGAAGGGTGTGCCGAAATGAGTGGCGGGGGCGCATGCGAACTGTGCCACTGGGACCTTCGGCGGGGCCCCTGTGGGGCCACGAAGCGTGTGAGGGATGTGCCGAAACGAGTGGCGGTGACGCATGCGAATTGTGCCACTCGGACTTTCGGCGGAGCTCCTATGGGGTGCCGGCATGAATGGCGGGGACGCATGCGAACTGTGCCACTGGGACCTTCGGCGGAGCGCCTATGTTGCCACGAAACGTGTGAGGGGTGTGCCGAAATTGGTGGCGGGGACGCGTGCGAATTGTGACATTTGGACCTTCGGCGGGGCTCCTATGGGGCCACGAAGCGTGTGAGGGGTGTGCCGAAATGAGTGGCGGGGACGCATGCGAACTGTGCCACTGGGACCTTCGGCGGGGCTCCTGTGGGGCCACTAAGCGTGTGAGGGGTGTGCCGAAACGAGTGGCGGGGACGCGTGCGATTTGTGCCACTGGGACCTTTTGAGGAGCTCCTATGGGGCGCTGAAATGAGTGGCGGGGACGCATGCGAACTGTGCCACTGGGACCTTCGGCGGAGCTCCTATGGGGCCGCGAACCATGTGAGGGCTGTGCCGAAATGAGTGGCGGGGACGCATGTGAGCTGCGCCACTGTGACATTCGGCGGGGCTCCTATGGGGCCACGAAACGTGTGAGGAGGTGCGGGGACGCATGCGAACTGTGCCACTGGGACCTTCGGAGGCGCTCCCATGGGGCCACGCAACGTGTGAGGGGTGTGCCGAAATGAGTGGCGGGGGCGCATGCGCATTGTGCCACTCGGACCTTCGGCGGAGCTCCTATGGGGCCACGGAGCGTGTGAGGGGTGTGCCGACATGAGTGGCGGGGACGCATGCGAACTGTGCCACTGGGACTTTCGGCGGCGCTCCCATGGGGCCACGAAACGTGTGAGGGATATGCCCAAATGAGTGGCGGGGACGCATGCGAACTGTGCCACTGGGACCTTTCGGCGGAGCTCCTATGGGGCCACGAAGTGTGTGTGGGGTGTGCCGACATGGGCGGTGGGGACGCATTCGAAGTGTGCCAGTGAGACCTTCGGCGGAGCTCCTATTGGGACACGAAGCGTGAGAGGGGTGTGCCGACATGAGTGGCGGGGACGCATGCGAACTGTGCCTTTGGGACCTTCGGCGGAGCTCCTAGTATGCCACGACACGTGTGAGGGGTGTGCCGAAATGAGTGACGGGGACGCATGCGGACTGTGCCACTGGGACCTTCGGCGGGGCTCCGATGGGGCCACGAAGCGTGTGAGGGGTGTGCTGGAAAGAGTGGCGGGGGCGCGTGCGAATTGTGCCACTGGGACCTTCGGCGGACGTTTCATGGGGCCACGAAACGTGTGAGGAGTGCGCCGAAATGAGTAGCGGGGACGCATGCGAACTGTGCCTTTGGGACCTTCGGCGGAGCTCCCATGGGGCCACGAAGCGTGTGAGGGGTGTGCCGAAGTGAGTGGCGGGGACGCGTGCGAATTGTGCCAGTGGGACCTTCGGCGGAGCTTCTATGGAGGCACCGAAATGAGTGGCGGGGACGCATGCGAAGTGGGCCACTGGGACCTTCGGCGGAACTCCTATTATGCCACGAAGCGTGTGAGGGGTGTGTCGACATGAATGGCGGGGACGCATGCGAACTGTGCCTTTGGGACCTTCGGCGGGGCTCTGATGGGGTCACAGAACGTGTAAGGGGTGTGCCGAAATGAGTGGCGGGGACGCATGCGAACTGTGCCAGTGGGACCTTCGGCGGAGCTCCTATGGGGACACGAAGCGTGTGAGGGGTGTGCCGAAATGAGCGGCGGGGGCGCATGCGAAGTGGGCCACTGGGACTTTCGGCGGAGCTCCTATGGGGCCACGTAGCGTCTGAGGGGTGTGCCTAAATGAGTGGCGGGGACGCATGTGAATTGTGCCACTGGGACCTTTCGGCGGAGCTCCTATGGGCCAGGAAACGTCTGAGGGACCTTTCGGCGGAGCTCCTATGGGCCCCGAAACGTCTGAGGGGTGTGCCGAAATGAGTGGCGGGGACGCATGTGAATTGTGCCACTGGGACCTTCGGCGGAGCTCCGATGGGGCCACGAAACGAGTGAGGGGTGTGCCGAAATGAGTGGCGGGGACGCATGCGAACTGTGCCAGTGGGACCTTTCGGCGGAGCTCCTATGGGGCCACGAAGCGTGTGAGGGGTGTGCCGAAATGAGCGGCGGGGACGCATGCGATTTGTACCACTGTGACCTTCGGCGGAGCTCCCTATGGGGCAACGAAACGTGTGATGATGTGGATGATGATGTAGATGTTGATGATAATGATGATGATGATGATGATGATGATGATGATGATGATGATGATGATGATGATGATGATGATGATGATGATGATGATGATGATGATGATGGTGATGATGATGATGATGATGACGATGATGATGATGATGATGATGATGATGATGGCGACGGTAATGACGATCATGACGGTGATAATGATGACGATGATGATGATGGTGATGATGATGATGGTGATGTGAGGAGCGGAGGAGTAAGGAGGAAGGAGGAAACGCGGGGACCTTCTTCAGAACGAGGACCCAACAATATAGGCTGGTTGGGAACAAGCGAAAACGCCAGTCCTAAGCGTCGAGAGCACGGCGCCTGAATATATTGCGAGAAGGTCGCACGCGAGAGCGCGATTCCTGCACAAATTGTTAGGAAATCCCGCGCGAGAGCGCGATTCTGAAATACACTATGAGGAAGTATCCGGCTGGAGCCGCTGTTGTTGTTGGTGTTGTTGTTGTTGCTGCTGCTGCTGTTGTTGTTGTTGATGTTGTTGTTGTTGTTGTTGTTGTTGTTGTTGTTGAGTTTTAATGTTTGGAGAATTGTTATTGTTGATCCCCCCCGCCCGGTGCACATTGTAACTTTCCGATTGAAGTGCCCCTCCCGGGGCTCGCACTCTGTTTTTTATGAGGGAAAGTCTTGACGGTCAAATTGTGTCGTTGGCCCTCGGTTTACAGCAACAGCGGCTCCCGCCTGATACTTCATCACAATGTACTGAAGAACCGCGCTGTCGCTTAGGACTTCCTGGCAATTTACCACCGAGTCGCGGTTCCCGCCTGATATTTCTTGATAATGTATTGCAGAATCGCGTTCTCGCTTGGGGACTTCCTCGCAACTTACCACCGATGCGATTCGCTCGATATTTTTCATTCACAATTTATTCAGATGCCGGTCCTCGACACTCGCGAATCGCGCTTCCGCTACATGTTGCCTGGCGGTTCAAGCAGGATTCACGCTTCAACGACCCGCCCGCTCGACCCGCCCGTCGGGGCCTGCCCGCCCGACCAGCCCATTAATGACTGCAGTCGCCGCTCGTTGCCCTTCGCCCGCCTTCGATGCCCTTCGCTGCCCGTACTGGTTCCACGGTCGCCTTCAATCGCTGCCCTTCGTGGCCCCGTTGCTGCCCTCAGTGGCCCTGTCGCGGCCCTTTGTGGCCCCGCATTGTATGCCCTTCGTGGTCCCCGCTCGCACGCGCCCGTCGTGGTCCCATACGCATGCCCTTCGTAGCCTCGCTGTCGCCCTTCGTGGCCCCCTCGCTGCCCTTCGTGGCCCCTTTGCTGCCCTCAGTGGCCCCGCTGTCGCCCTTTGTGGCGCCATATGCGAATGCCCTTCGTGGTCCCCGCTCGCTCGCGCCCGTCGTGGCCCCATATGCATGCCCGCTGTCGCCCTTTGTGGCCTCCTCGCTGCCCTTTGTGGCCCCGGTGCTGCCCTCAGCGGCCCCGTCGCTGCCCTCTGTGGCCTCGGACTTCATGCCCTTCGTGGCCCACGCTGGTTTTTCTCACGATTTACTTGGGAATCGCGCTATCGCTCGAGACTTCCTAGCGATTCATGCAGGACCCACGCTTCAGCGACCCGCCTGCTCGACCTCGTCGCCTGGGCCCGCCTTCCCGACCTGCCCGCTATGGGTCTGCCCACCCGATCTGCCCGTCTTGTTCTACCACTTGTTTTCTGCTCCTTGCCCCCCTCCTGCTAATTTCTCTCGTGCTCCACTCTTCTCCCTCCCCCTTCCACCCGTCCTCTCTTCTCTTTTTTCAGGGGCTGCACTAAATACACGTGGCAGGTAAGGAAGATATGCCCCCCAAGTGGGTACGATCGAAGACGACGAAGGCGAGTAACGAGGGTTTGCTATATACGTATTGATTGGCACGTGAGCAGATACGAGCGAACAGTCTTGTAATGATTGTTATTGTTGTTGGTGGTTTTGTTGTTTATTGATGTTGTAACGCGGGGGCCAGGGGGCCAGTTTGACCTTCAAGACTTATCCGGGTTAGGAAAAACAGGCTGCGAGACTCGGAAAAGGGGCATTGCATTTGGAAAACACATCATGTGCGCCGAGTGGGGGGGGTCCCCGCCCCCCTTGTCTCTTCCCTCCTCTCTTCCTTCCCCTGTGTCCGCGGCTGCACCAGCTACATGCGGCAGGTTGGGAAGACATACCCCCAAGGGGGGTACGATCGCAGACGAAGAGGGCAGCCACCGAAGGTTTGGGATACACGTACTGCATGGCACGCGAGCAGATAATAGCGAACAGTTTTGGAATAGTCGTTGTTGTTATTGTTGTTGTCGTTGTTGTTTTTGATGAATGTTAATTACTCAATTATTGTTGTTGGACCCCCCCAGGCGCTTTGGCGCTCTCGCCTCGGCGCCGGCTACATGTTCATTGAAAATGAGGCTCACGCTCGAGCGGTTTGGGGGGGTGCCCAAACGAGCCCCCCAACAACAACAACGCTTCCGCTCGAGACTTCATCCTTTTTTAACTCAAAGCGGTGAACCCCCTCGCCGCCGAAAACCGCCGTCCCGACAAAACCAGCGTTCCCGCCCGAGATTTCCTCCCGTTTTCCGCTGGACTGGCGCTATGCTCTCTTTTGAATTGACAGCTCCCAGCAAGAACAACGCTCCGGCTCGAGGCTTCCACACTTTTTCCTCAGGACAGTGCTGTTCCTCGCCGCCGACTGTCCCCGTCCCGACAACCACGGCTCCCGCTCGAGACTTTCTCCCTTCATACTCAAGGCGGTGTTCCTCCTCGCCGCCGACAGCCGTCCCAACAAAACCAGCGTTCCCGCTCGAGACTTCGTTTTGTTTTACGCTGGACTAGTGCCCTACTCTCTTCAGCAGTGGCGCCGCTCCCAGCAACAACAGCGGCCCTGCTCGAGACGTTCTCCCTTCCTATTCAGGGCCAGGTCCTTGCCTCGCCGCCGACAGCCCCCATCACCACCAAGGCAATCCTGTTGCTCGATGATTCCTTGTGCTTTACCCTTGGCTGGGGCTCCACTGGCGGTCTCGCATCTGCGCAGCAAGGCGCGGGCATGCGAGTTCGAGGCGGGATATGTTGAAATTCCTCGGAGGAGGTGTTTGTAAGACCTCATCGGGCGGGAGACCTGAGAATGGGAATAACGGACCCCGCTATACAACAATAACCCCCCATGATGGGGATAGTTATCATGATGGTCGCACGCTTCGTGTGGAAACATCGCGCATGAGGGCAAACTTATTGTTGCTGTTGTTGGTGATGCTATTGGTGTTGTTGGTGGTGTTGGGGTTGTTGCTGTTGTTGTTGGTGTTGCTGAGGATGATGGTGCTGCTGCTGTTGGTGGTGGTGTTGATGTTGCTGTTATTGGTGTTACTGTTAGTGTTGCTGGTGGTGTTGTGTGTTGTGCTGTTGTTGCTGCTGTTGATGGTGCTGGTGTTTGTGTTGTGGTTGTTGTTGGTTTTCCTGTTGCTGTTAGTGGCGTTGTCGTTGTTGCTGTTGTTGTGGTTGTTGCTGGTGTGGTTGTTGCTGCTGTTGTTGTTTGGTGGTGGTGTTGTTGTTGCTGCTGCTGCTGTTGTTGTTGATGCTGCTGCCATTGTTGTTGGTGTCGTCGCCCTCTGCAGCGAGCCCCCCAACGACCCGCATGCGACCCCCCCCCCGCGACCCACCCGCGACCCCGATCCACCTGGCGCCCACCTCTCCACTCTTATCCACACCAGCGGGGTGCTACGTATGCACATGTGGAGTGCCCCGCGTTTAATAACTGTTGATTTCTGCATTGGAGGACCGTGGTCACATCGAATGCCCGCCCGCGACGAAATACGGTAGCACCCCGCAGATGCGGATAAGAGTGGGGGGGGCGGTGGGGACGTCGGCAGTGTGCGAGACTCTGGAGGAGCCCGCCGCAGGCACCGTTTTTTTCATTCAACCAATGTGGGTGGGTCGCGGGTGGGTCGCCAATGGGTCGCGGGTTGGTCGCGGGTGCATCGTTGTTGGGTGGCGGGTGGGTCGCGGGTGTAGGGGCAGAGAATTGACCCCATAATAAGCAATCACCCCGACACGTGAAGCCGTTTAGTAAGCGCACACAAGGAATGTATCGAACAGGGCAGGGCTGTTTAGCAAACGCCCAGGGCCGTTTAGTAAACGTCAATTGTCAGGTCCATGTGGTTTTTCCTCCCTTGAGGGTGGGTCGCTGGGTGGGTCGCGGGTGGGTCGCGGGTTGGGTCGCGGGTGTGTCGCGGATGGGTCGCGGGGTGGGCCGCGGGTGGGTCGCGGGGTGGGTTGCGGGTGGGTCGCGGGGTGGGTCGCGGGTTGGGTCGCGGGGTGGGTCGCGGGTTGGGTCGCGGGGTGGGTCGCGGGGTTGGACGACGACAACAAACAACAACATTAACAACAACATTAACAACAATGTGAACAACAACAACAACAGCAGCAACAACAACAGCAACAACGCAGCAAGCAGAAGTTTCACCACACATTCCTTATTCAGCCACGCACCTAGGGACAATGAATGACCGTTCGGCCCCCTCACTCTGACCATCCCAGGAATTTTGTCAAGAGTTGCTCGGAACCGCGCCATGGACGAATCATGACGGCGGAGATTAGGCCCCTCATCGTCCCATTCAACAGCCCTCAGCTTGGTGGATATTGTGAGGTCGATTGTGACCAGCTGGTCCAGACAAGAAGTATGAATACGACCCAGAGGAGGAGGATCGAGGTCCATTGGTATAGTCTCCAAACTCCGTCGAGTGTCGTCTTGCCTTCGCCCACTTCGGCATACCCCTCACGAGGATAGTGCCCCACAGGGGGCTCCAGCTTTAGCTCCACCGAGGGCGACCCTGTGCGCTTCCCAGTCCATGTCGGCGGTCGGCGGCCCCACCTCGGAGGCCCCGATGGTTGGCGGAAGCTTCTCGGACAGGGTACAGTCGACCTGCTCAAGCTGAGCCCCACCGAGCTTCACCCCTCCCTGACAACTCCTGGCAGCTAGAGGAGGAGGAGGAGGAGGAGGAGGAGGAGGAGGAGGAGGAGGAGGAGGAGGAGGGGGGGGAGGAGGAGGAGGAGAGGGAGGAGGAGGGGGAAGAATAGGAGGAGGGAGGAGGAGGAGGAGGAGGAGGAGGAGGAGGAGGAGGAGGAGGGGGAAGAATAGGAGGAGGAGGATGAGCTGGAGGAGGAGCAGGAGGAGGAGGAGGAGGAGGAGGAGGAGCAGGAGCAGGAGCAGGAGCAGGAGCAGGAGCAGGAGGAGCGAGGTGGTACTCGTCGCCGTCCCCCCCTTCATATTGTCGCGGGCTGCCGTTGCAAAGCGCCGACTCCGCATTGAACGCTACCCCTTGAGCTGCCGCGACGTGCCTGCTGTGCGGCTGCGGCGCGCTCTCACCCTCAGCATGAGCTCTCCCCCGACCACCCCCCCACCCGCAGCGGGCGCGCGGGCAGGAAGTCTGGCCCCACGCCCAGCGGCTTCCGCGGCAGCGCCGCCGCTACCAGAGGCCGCGAGCTTGATGGCACCTATTCTGGGTTTCTTAATAAGCGGGGGGGGTACCCCCCCGACGGGGTCAATCTCGCCTCGTCGTCGCGCCGCGACGTGGGTCGGAGCGCCGTTCGGCTCGATGTGGCTGCCCGCGACGGGGGTCGATGTGGGGCTGTCGGCAGGGGTGACGCCCCCCCGACGCTGAATAAGACACTCTGAGTAGGCTCCGCCCCTTGTTTCAATAGTGTTGCCTGTTCGCCTCCTCGTCTCGGTAGCTTCGATCCAAGAGCCCGCGCTGACCTCGGAAAGCTTGTGTTGATACCGTGCTCTCTTCCTCTATCATCCCCTCCCCAGGGCTCATCTCGGCTTTTCCGTGGGGGCCTTACTAGCCTGCTGGTTTCCGTTGGGTCGAGTTCTCTCGACTTGGCTTCCGATCTCCGCCGACCTGATTCATGTCGTCGCCGCTCTGACACATCGACTCGATTTGGGGCTCTCCTGCGCGTGGCCACGGCTCAGGGTCCGCCTTCTTCCCAGACAGTCGGCGCGACTCCGGGCACTGGCGGGCGGCCGGGGCGCGGAGGGAGCGAGGGAGGGGGCACGCATGACCCCGACGGGATACCATCTTGGGGACCTCCTCCTCCTCCTCCTCCTCTTCCTCCTCCTCCTGTTCCTCCTTCCCTCCTCGAAGCCACTGTGGCCCGAGCGTGGGGGCTGCTCCGCTAGAGCAGACGTGTCGACGAGAGAGGGTGCCGGCGATCTGCCTGGCCATCCTTCTCGAGTGCCGTCCGTGTGTTCCTCTCGTGGGAGGCTCCACACCGACTCTGGAAACCCTGAACCTGGCGGCGGAGCCGTGACGGCGATGCTGCAGCGGTGCGGCCTGGCGCTGGAGGGTGCGGTGCAGCGGTGCGGGCTGGGGTGCAGCAACGAAAAAAACATAAATCTAAGAAAGGGTCTCTGGCTGGGGTATTCATCGAGGGGTGGGCGACTTACCTTCCGACGGAGCTTATCCGCCCCCCCTACTCCACTTTCCTCCTCCTCCTCCTCCTCCTCCTCCTCCTCCTTCTCCTCCTCATTCTCCTCCTCCTCCTCCTCGTCCTCCTCCTCCTCCTCCTCCTCCTCCTCCTCCCCCTCCTCCTCCTCCCTCCTCCTCCTCCTCCTCCTCCTCCTCCTCCTCCTCATCTCATCCTCATCATCATCATCATCATCATCATCATCATCATCATCATCATCATCATCATCATCATCATCCCCCTCCTCCTCCTCCTCCTCTCCTCCTCCTCCTCCTCCTCCTCAACTCCCCCCCCTCCCCCTCCCCCATCCGCCTCCTCCTCCTCCTCCTCCTCCTCCTCCTCCTCCTCCAACCCCCCCTCCACCTGTGCCGACAGCACGTGCCACCGCCCCCCCCCAGCGGATCCAAGGGGGGGCCGATGATTGCCCCATCCAGGGTAAATAGTTGTCGTCATTATCCCGTACTGAAGCGCAACACGGGCCGCGTTCCAAACGTCCGTGTCAGCACTCTGCGTGTTGGTGTTCGGCACGTGTTGATCTACGTTTTGGCGAATGTATCGCGCCAGACCTGTGTGTTTCAGTCTACGTGATAAGTTCCATGTCAGCACGCTACGTGTTGCGCGCTGCGTATCGGGGCAGCAAGGTAAATAATGTGACATCTCCTTGGTGGGACGATTGTAACTTCCGCCTCGGAGCCCCCCCCGTTTTTGTTTCTCTCTCGCCGACCTTGCGCCACCCTCCGCCCAGGAGAGGGAGGCCAATTCTTCCATTCCTCGAAGGCCAGGCCCTTTCTGGAACGCCTCACGGCTTGCACTTTGACGGCTTCGTTGACGATTTCGACCTTGAGCTTTCGGGCTTCTCTGACCGAGGGCGCGCCGTGCCGCTGGCTACTCCTGCCGCTTCTGGCGCCTGGCTCGCGGAACGAAGGCAGGAGCAGGTCGTGCAGAGCGTCCACCAGTTCATCACGGCGCGATTGGTGCGCGCCCTCTGGCGCCGCCTGGTGCCTGCCGGACGGGGCTAGGACGAGGATACATCTGTTCCAGAGCCTGCCGGAACGCACTCAGAGCGTTCCAGAACGCTTTGGAAAGCCCGCGGCGCCCGAGACGTCCTCCGAAGCCGCCAGTTCTCAGAAATTCTCGATGAGTATCTTCCCCCGAGCTTGTCCTCGCCCTGGCCTCGTCGTAGCCTGACGCGTGGCGGGTGTTCCACCGGCGGTCGATGGTGCTCGCTGAGCTGGGCGTCGGGGCTGCGCGCCGAGGCCCCGCCGCCCCGTGTGTCACGGGAGGCCGTGGTGACCCTTCCTCGGCGCTGGACGGCGCGCCCGCGCGACCCCGCCGCGAGGGCCGACTGCGAGCAGGAAGGGCATGCCACGAGAGCGTTCCAGAGTTTGCCAATTCGCTACACCTCCTCCTCTTCCTCCTCCTGCTCCTTCTCCTCCTCCTCCTCCTTTTCCTCCTCCTCCTCCTCCTCCTCCTCCTCCCATCTTCCTCCCCCTCCCCTCCTCCTCCTCCTCCTCCTCCTCCTCCTCCTCCCTCTCCTCCTCCCCCCCCCCCCCTCCTCCTCCTCCTCTCCTCCTCCGTCTCCTCCCCCTCCTCCTCCTCCTCCTCCTCCTCCTCCTCCTCCTCCTTTTCTCCTCGGCCGTGGGGCGCCCTGCTCGCATGCTAACAAAACATTGTGTGTGTGTGTTGTGTGTGTGTTTGTGTGTGTGTGTTTGTTACCTTCTGGGCCATATGGCGCGTCATCCCTCATCTTGGCGTGCCAGTGTTTTCACAACATGGGCGTTTTCGCGCGGTGGCGGGCCCCGGGACCCTCACGGATCGGCCCGGCTCGAACAATGTCGCAGAAAGATGGGGTCCAGATTGTTTGTCGTGAACTCTCACGATGTGTTTTTTTTTCGCCACGTCGGATCTCAGGGCCTACTACCCTCTGGGCCGTATAGCGCGTAATGCCCCCCCTTCCCCTCCCCCTCCAAAAAGTAACGCTCCCTCCCCCACAGTGAGTTGACGGCACTGCCGCAGTGCGTCCGGCACCGCAGTCTGCGGTGCCTAGGCCAGACCCACACGGCGTGGGGTGGGGGGCCTTACTTCATGCCCCCCACCAGGTCCTCCTCCCCCCAACAAAAACGCCCGTTATCGCCGCGTATAACAAATTGCTCTCCACACGTTCGGAGACTTCGCCGAAGCAGCCCAAGCCGACAAGGGGGCCGAGGCTGAACACGGGCGGGCGAAGATCGAGTTTCCTCGTCCAGATCAATGCCACTTTGGTCGCGGGAGCCGCTGGCAAGATCGGAGCGTCTGGCCGCACAGTCGCGCTCCTCAACGCGCTTCCAGCGAGTATCTCTGCACCGCTGGCATCTGAAGGCTCCATCCTGCGTCGTCTGCAGACATCATCCACGAGACGGCGGGCCGAGCGACGAAGCTGGAGCATTTTGGCCATGCGATCCGTTGGCCATGCGATCGCGATGGCCAGCCGTGCCTTTCTCGAGCCAGCAGCGCGTGCCTCGGGGTGCGGCTCTCTCCGGATTCCTCGACACCTTCCATGCGCATCATTGCGAATTCCATCTGCAGTCTCTCGACTGCCGTTGTGGATCCAAATCGCAGTCTGGATCAGTACTCCTGTGACCAGCTCGGCCACGATTCCACTACCTCGACTCCACCACGACAGTACCCAGACACCTGACGTCATGTTTTTTCATAGCGTCGACCCCCACTGGTATCGACCCATTCCCCGGAACGGGCTTTTCATCTTGAGTTGTTTTTGACGGTCTTGAGGCCAAGTAAGGGCCCACCGAGGACGAGAATAGGCAAAACCGTCCGTCGTGATTCTCTAATGACTAGAGGGGGCCTGGGATGACAATACTAAGGGCAGAAGGCTTGTAGTATGTCTGCTCAGATCGGCGGCGAGAAACGGGGGCCATGGCTCGGGGGCTGGGAGTGGGGGCTTGGATGTTCTTGTGCATGCTGGGGGAGGGCACCCTCGAATGTTCAGTGTGTTTTGGACGGCGGAGGGTCTCATGTTTTTGGAGGGTGTTCTTCTCTCCTAGGTCCGGCCGTACAGTCAAGAAGCTGACATCAGGAACAGCTTGGGTACTGAAGGGGCTCGATGTTCCTTAGGTCGTTCTTCGGTTGTTCCTCTGTCCTTCCTCCTGCACGCTGGTGCTTTGGGGGCCAGAAAGTGGCTTCGTTCCTGATTTACAGGGCACCTTCAGGGGACCTCGTCTGTCACCAATATTGGTGTCTTTTCTCGTACCCGACGCGGGCTCGATGCGGACTCCGTGCGGACTTGGCGTGGATTTTGCGCGGATTCGACGTGGATTCGGCGCGGATTCAGCGAGTCAGATGCAATATAAGTTGTTTATCGTTCATTATTCAGCGGCCCGATTGCTTGTCCGCAGCGGTCGGGAAACGGGGGCCATGGGAGCGGGTGGCCTCCCAACAAGAGCGCGGAGCGCGGCCCCCTTGAAGAAAACCGTGCCGACGGCCACCACCTCATGGGTGAAAGAGGACAGCGACGAAGACGAGATGGCGCAGGAGGATGGGGAGGGGCACGAGGTGGAGGATGCCTCCACGTTCTTGGAGGAGGTAAAGGTACCCATACCACTATGCTTGCTTCATTCTCCCCTTTTTGGGCCTATTGGGAGGCCCTCGTCGCCACCGCTGGATTCGCCTCGAAATCTAGACGCTTCGCGTAACCCCAGCGCTTCGCTTACATTCGCCAGTCTGTGCGGCTCTTGGCTGCGCCCCCAGCGTTTCGGCCGAACCCATGGAAGGCGGCAGCACAGACCCCCCGCCAGGTGGACAGGCGGGCAGGCCCCCCCCCGCGGTGACTGAAGATCCTCCACGGGGAGCGGTGGAGGGATCAAACAGAGGAGACCCAGACCGGTCAGCCCCGTCTCTGTGGGCCGCCTCTTCCTCCTCCTCCTTCAATTCACCTGTTTGCGCGGCTCTTGGCTGCGCCTCCTTTCCTCCCCCCTCCTCCTCCTCCTCCTCCTCCTCCTCCTCCTCCTCCTCC